CGCAGATTTATCTCTCCGGGTCACCAATGAAACGATAAGAGCCATTTGCCGTTTTATGGCAGCCCTGATGGCTGCGAAGAGACACTGAGGCTTCTGAGGGCAGGGCCCTCTGGGAAAGAGCGGTGTACACCTCATCATACGGCGCCTGTCTCTGCTCAGCGCTCTCAGGAGATCAGTCTGTTAACCCTGCCACCTCCGGTACTTCAGGGCACAGAGGTCTCCAGCTCTCTGTGGCTCCCTCATGTTTAGAGTTTGCACCTGGTATGACAAAAGATTTTCTGTACCCGAAGGCCGGTTTACGTGCCGAAGGTGCCCACTAATGTCCCTCTGCACATAGTCTTGCAGGCTTTCTGTCCTCCTCTTTTCAGTAGTTCAGACTAGGAAAAGCTTAATTTAATGTGTCCAGTCAGAGCACTGGACACTTATGTCCACAGAGCTGCCCTGTGGAGAAAATCAGTCCAACTTTTCTGCTTAAGAGAGGCCTTCCGGCGACCAAGTACTGTAGACTCCCTTGCTTATGAGTTCTTTGACCTCCCTTCACCCCTGGGGGCAGAGCCCACTCATCTGGATAATCCTTATAGGATATAAGTGACGCATCGGGTCGGTCTTCCCCGCTCACTTTTGTTAGGTTCTTTAACCTAGATATGGGAATCCACTCCACACTCTAGAGTGCTTTTGTTTAAGTTGTGCTTGCATGATTTCACACTAGACAGGCATTCGTAAGCATGGCGGAGTGGGTATTGTCATTCCCAAAGCCTTCCGATGCAGAGCAAGTTCACTTGAAGGGGGACGTCTCAAGGTTACGTATGTAACCATGGTTCCCCGAAAGGGAACAAGATGCTGCATTCATCATCCTGCCATACTTACTGCATCTCTGTGAGTGCCTTGCTTCGACTGATCAGAAGCTAATGCTGTTTACACCGAATGCGCTTTTAAGCTTCCTGGTCGCTATGTCACCCTGCCCATGACATCTCACCACTCTATTGGAATGATTTCACACGTGCTTCAGGACGTGGTCACGCAGAAGCGTTCCCAAAGCATTCCAATTCAGTGTCTCGTTCCCTTTTGGGGACCCATGGTTACATACGTAACCTAGAGATTATTTTTTTATTTTTGAAAGAAAGAGTTTTATTTCTAGATAAAATATGATTTCTAGATTAGATATTATTATCCTTGCTTTTATTCAGCAATGATGCATTAAATTGTCACTCAAAAGTGAGAATAAAGACATTTATAATGTTACAAAAGATTTATATTTCAAATAAATGCTTTTCTTTTGAACTTTCTATTCATCAAATAATGTAAATGCACCAGTCTAAGAAGAAACTTTACAATAGTAGTACTTCTGTACACGACATTATAACAGAATTGACCTTTTAAAATCATCCCTATATTGACAAACACAAAACATTAAAGAAAAACAAAAATAATTTCTCAAATGATAATGGTGATGCCATTATGCATCATTCATGCAATTGTTTAGTTTAGTGTAAAAATAGGATGGTAACAGGGTAACACTGACGGAATTGGCAGATTCATTTTGTAAAATGACTAACATCATGGTCTTGATGAATGATCCTGAAGTACATTACCTCTCTAAGGTAGAAAAACAGTGTGAACAAGAGTGATATACAGGAAAAGATACACCTCTATCTTTGTCTGTGTTCTGCTCTAGATCAGATGACAGATTACTTGGTATATTTCCTAGGTAGCTAAATATAGGTCAGTCCTTTCTAGCAGCATGAGAGAACAGTCTCTCTCTCTCTCTCACACACACACACACACACACACACACACACACACACACACACATTGACTCTAGAGGACTGCTGAGCTGCACTTGCAGTTGGTTGCAGAGCAGGTGACTGGATGACGTACACTGGATCCTTGTGAGGGAAGTTTCCACAGCAGAATACCTGATAGCAAGCACGTTGCTCCGGTGACAACGTGTGAACTGGGAAATCTCAGATGGACTCTTAAAGAGATGCTTTTTACTCACTCGGTAAACATTCAACATCTAGTTGAAAAATAATCGGTTACAAAACCGAAGCCGTTTTCAGGATTTAATATTGCTGGCTTGCTTTGTAGATATTGCATGGAGTGTAAGGTTCATGGTTACAACAGACAGGTTTACACAAGGGCCGTTTAGGGAGCATTTAATCTCTCACCCGTCAGGAGCTTGCTGCCTCCAGAGACACGACTGTTACAACTGAACATCGTAACTGTGCAGTGCTTACTAAAGAGCAAACCTTTGTCTGTCTGTACAAAGTACAGTGCGGTTCCTCTGGGTTTCAGTGTGTTATTTGCTGAGTCAGTGGCCACATTCAGTGCACCGTTTTGTTTAACCTGGGCATAGACATTCGAAGAACGAGGCAACAACAGCAGAGATGCCTCTGGATCACAGGTTAACTGGCAAAGAAAATAATTAGAAATCGTGTTGCATCGCAAAACCACAAGGAGATAAATTCAAATGTAATCACCATAATGACATTATGACCCCATATTATTATTAAACTGGATGATTTATAATGGCAAACTACAAAAATAAAATCAAATAAAATATAATAAAACATAAAAAGACCCCCCAAAAAAGTCCATACAACATGTGCACTAATTGACAATTTTTCATTGTCTTTTTCACACGAAGCTTATATTTATGGAAGCTTGTTTGCACCCTGGGAAAAAAAAACTTTTTATTTCAAAATCAGGCTTTTTTTGCCTTCATAATTCTTAGTTTGTATCTAACAATTCACACAAGGGTTTCATCTAGTTTCATTTTCATGGATTTTTTGTTTGTTTCTATTCCGTTTCCTTTTCTCTTTGTTCTAGTTCCTACAAATCCTTAGTTGTCATGGTTACAGTGTTGATGGTGTCATTCTGTTCTTTGCTCTGTGTATTTAAGTTCCTCTTGTTTCTGTTCAGTTTGTCTGGTCTCGTCAGTGTTTTAGTTGTTTAGTTTTCCTGCCTTGTTTGGATTCCCTTCAGTGTGGATTATTAAAGACTTCTGAAACTTCATCTTCTTCATCTGTTTTAAACAACCAAGTTGTGACAATTGTGAGATATAAACTTAAAAATGCAAGATTTGCTCTGAATTGCTCTGGGAAAAGGAAAAGAAAAAAACATAATTGCGAGAAATTAAATCAGAGAGGGGGAAAAATTAGTACAAAAAAAAAAAATCTATTTTGGGGCAAACTATGCATTTAAAAGTCAAACAACAGAGGACCCAAGAGCTTTCTGAAGGTGAACATTGGTTTGAATCTCCTTCTGAAGGTTTTCACATTCATTAGACAACCATATGTCAAGGAAATAAATAATTTCTTATAATCCTGGTGAGGACTTTGCATCAATCACATGGTGAGTGCAAAAGGTGCTGTAATCTATATCAGTAACCTTCATAAGGATGTTTCGTAAGTAAATTGTTCCTGTAAGTCTTATAATCTAACAAGCATGTGTCATTAACCCTGGGATTCAGTTTACTCTGTTTCATTTTTGTGCTGTTGTAAAACAATGTCTGGATCAGTAATTTGGTACTCAATATAGACAGTGCAGACAAAACATGGTCCTGTTTTTATACATTTCACTCTCATTTGTATATGTCTACATTAAGTTATATGCATTGTTATTGTTGATATTGGTTTCCTATTGACACTGTCACCAATCTGAAAAACTGTAGATGGCTTTTATAGAACGAACAACAAAAGATAGACAAAGAGAGAAAGATTTAGTATCTTCTTCTGATTGCATATGTCTACATTAAGTTATATGCATTGTTATTGTTGATCTTGGTTTCCTATTGACACTGTCACCAATCTGAAAAGAATGCTGAATCTGTAGATGGCTTTTATAGAACGAACAACAAAAGATAGACAAAGAGAGAAAGATTTAGTATCTTCTTCTGATTGTGCAAATATTGAACAGTCCAGTCCAAGATGAGTATAATTGATGTATAAATATTCACAATAATGAGAAGTAAAGATTTTTGAAACAATTTTAGGAATAAGTCCTAAAACCGCAGGCCTCATTTCTAAAATGTGCATATAGGATCTTAAAATGTGCATAAGCTAAAAATCAATGCTCGGATTTATAAAAACGGTTTTTGATGTGCAAAAGTGCTTAGCACCACGTCAGGTTCTAAGCAGGCATATGCACTTTTCCTTGTGGCAGAGTCGGAGTACTGTAGGGTCTAGAGCATTCATCTGTGAACAATTTCAGGATCGTTTCACATCTTATCTAGATTTCAAATCTGGAAGAGAGGTGTATGCAAATTTTTTTTAATGTGTACAGTACATTCGTTTCTCTGAATCACAAGTGCGCACATTTGAGAAATGATCTTAGATCAAATGTAGGACGATTTCTATGCAACATTTTATAAATGAGGCCCCAGGAAACCAGTTAGCATTTTTGAATTTGCAGTTTCATTACCCCAAAGTCAATGTATTTTTTTTAATGGGTTTTTGGTTAAATGCCTGAAATAAGGTCTGTGGTGAAGCTCAGGATATTTTCACGTTTTATTCTACAAAATAAAATACATAATTTATTATTATTTTATAATTAAATTGCATCAAGATTTTTAAAATTGTTTACATATCTTGAAAAAGGTGGTTGCTAACAAGTAGCGAAATGGGACTACAGAGGCTGTCGGGGGACGTTAAATGTCCTCACACTCTAAAAAATGCTGGGTTAAATACAACCCAGTGCTGGAAACAAATGTTTGAACAGTACTGTATTTTTCACAGAAGAAAAATACACCGGGTCAGAATGACATGAGGGTGTGTAAATGATGGTAAGGCTCCACAGAGCTTTGAGGAAAAAAAAGAAAGAAAAAAAGATCAATTATGATGTGAGCACAGTCATGGTTTATATGTAATTTCCATGTATTTTTCATCTCAATATCCTAAGTGAAAGTGAAATTTTAGCCTATTGTTTTTTTAGGTACATCTGATTTTTTCATAAAAAGCTTTTTATGGAATTTGTGATAGTATAGGCATTGTCTTTATTGTTTTACAGCGACTAGTCTTAATGTGCCATTTGCAGTTATTTCTGCAGATGCTTTGTTGTATACAGTGAGTGTATATGGTAATAATACTTTTTTTTCTTCTTTTATAAATATACAATGTCAGTGCATGTGCCTGCATTTGTGGACTGACAAAAACAGCACACTCACCAAACAGAAATCCATTTTTGCTTTAATAAAAAACAATATCATTTGAAAATAAATATGTTTAATAGTTATACTAAAAACACAAAAGGATGTTAATATTTAACAGCACCAATAAATATATTACTGTGAAAATATACTGAAAATGTGGCTGTACATGGCAAACAAACAAACAGAAAACTCATTTCTGGCACTTTCACACAAAGAGAATGTTTGTTTTTCGATCACAAATCCTCGTCCGCAGGTTTTGTGTCTCCACCAAACTGATCGCTGATACAAAAACGTTAAAATGAACTAAAAAAGGCGCTTTCAGGAATGTTGAAGTGCTTGTCTCTCTTTTGTCTTTCATTCTATAAAAGCCGTCCACAGTTTTTCAGATTGGTGACAATGTCGATAGGAAACAAAGCGAAACAATATCAACGATAACACTGCATATAAATAGATCAAATTAAATACACAGAATACTGAACATATTCTAACATTATAAATTAGATGTAGTGAACTACACAAAGGGATATTAGGGATATGTATATACAGATATTGTGTGATAATGAACAGCTCCTAAAGTCATGTGCAGTATTCTCTTTGGAAAACGTTACGAACCTTAAATATTTGAGTTTTCTTTTACTACTGCGGTGAACGGAATGAGTTTGTCCCCTTTAGCAAAAGTCAGAATTTGCATTTTGTCACATTTATCGTTTTTTTTTTATTTCCATGTATACATACATGTAATATCCCTTTAGTATTATCCCACCAAGTCCTATTAGATGTTAATCAGTACAGGTGTCTTTTTGACTAAGACTTCACCCTAGTAAGAGTGACATCACAGAAAGAGATAGTTCTGCATTTGTATCCCATGCCTGGACCCAGAAAGAATCGCTATTATGTCACTTCCTCTCCTTTGATTGACAGTCTGTAACTATTCATATAAAGGGTTGGAGGTTGTCTTTTGCACCTCTCAGTGAAGTCTTGGACATTCATTCCGAGTCTTTAAATATGAATCCACAGTGGGCCGATCCAGTGAAGCTTTACCTCACTGCGTTCTGTCCAATCACAGGCCCAGGTGCAGTGACACTGAAATATATCCCATTCACACGCCAAGCAGCGTCTTCGTTTACTTGTTTGTAGGTGATAGCAGCGACACACATTGTCATTTAATATATATATAATATATATATATTCTATATATTCATATATTAATATCTTAAAAATAGACATCGGGATGATATCGCCTTCCGTCTTTCGTTCAGGGTAGTGTTTACAGTTCGTCCAGGGAATGCATCCTCAGGTTTAAAAGTGCTGTGCCGTAAAAAATAAAATAAAATCCTTCATTCAGTGTTCTTCCCAGCGCTCCGCTCATCATCTTGGTTTTTCACATCTGAAAGAGAACAATGGATTGGTTAGGGATCTGCTTGAGATATAAGTCAAGATTCGCTTATTGATCTGTGTTTCAGCCACCCAACCAATCAGAGTTAAGCCTGTTTACCCACACTACTGTGTGTACAATGGAAACCTGGTGCTCACATTGAGAAATACGCTGACTACTGCCTGATTTATTTTTTTAAGTAGCATTTGAAACAGCCTTATGCTGGGATCAATATTTCAACGGTGGTACCCTTGTGAAAAAAAAGGAAATATTCTATTTAAAATAATGAACTTTAATATACTTTAAAAGTATAGTAATTTAATTATACTTAAGTGTGAAATGTAACGTTTTCAGACATTTAATTGCATGTAAAGTGAAATTAATGAAAATGTGTTACATTTATTTTAAATGCAATTAACTGAACTTTTTTGACCACTTAATTAGGACTTAAGTGCATCTTTATGTAATTTCATAATTACTTCTGTTGTCTTTGAAATATGGTTAAAGTGTTAATGCTGAATGTAGTGACAAGCATTTATGATAAACTAAAATATACTTTAATTCACATTTAACATATATTAACTTCAGTGGTGGACAGTAACGAAGTAGTTTTACTTCGTTACTGTACTTAAGTACATTTTTCAAGTATCTGTACTTTACTGGAGTAGTTTTATTTTGAGTAACTTTTACTTTTACTTCACTACATTCCAAAGCATAAGATCGTACTTTTTACTTCACTACATTTCTTTTACTCAAGTACTTGATTTGTGTACTTCGTCCACCTCTGATTAACTTAAATATAAATGTAATACAGAATAACACTACAGTTAAAGTACTTTACATGTGCTTTATGTAACACATGTTAGTCAACACATCAAAATAAGTGTACTTTTTTGAAGCACAACAAAAGATTATTAAAACATAATGATCTTTAAAACTTTTATTTTGACATTTTTAAAGAGTGCACTTTTTAAAAGTGTGTTTAAATGTGTTATGACGCTTAAGTAAGTCACTTAAGTAGCCTTTTATTTCATTAATATCTGCAAGTTTTTCTACTTTTAAGATTTACTTAAGCGCATTTCTGACAGTCTGAACAAAAACATTGCATTGTATTGTGGTTATGTAATTATGTAAAAATGTTCAGAGGTTGGACTTTTGGATGGGTTAAATGTGGTTAGGGTGGAATGACCACAGGATCAAAGTATGCTGTGATCTCCACAAAACATAACAATAACATTTGGACAACAAATACAGAATGCTAACATATGATCACACAGTTTAAATTAGTGTGACAGTTGATGAGAAGCAAGCCGCATGGACACGCTTATATATTCACATACATAATTTAAAAAAAATCTCATATTAGGTATCTGAAACATGAACAGCTAATGGAATGATTTTCACACGTGATGGCAAAATCAATAATACCAAACTGAATTCTGACCCATTATGAACATAAAACGACAAGATGAAAAAATAATTACTAATAAAAGGATGTGTGAGTTGCACTTCACAAGCACACGCATATGCAGCATCCCTGCCCATTTATACTCAAAAACACAAAATCATATTGCTTGCTGACAGAATACTAGCAAAGTCAGTTCATGTACACTATTAATCATTTCTATGCTCAACGCCAAAGTGTTGGCGCTACAAAACATGTCATTGTAAGTGCACAGCGGTAATGCACCAGATTCTGACATCAAATGTTGTATCTCATGGCAAATACTCCACACACACACACACACACACACACACTACATCAACATGTATATAGAAGGGAAAATGCAATAAGCGCTATAAGCATGCATATTTCAGAGCTTCAGATGGGACTGGATGAGATCTCATGGCAAATACTCCACACACACACACACACACACACACTACATCAACATGCATATATAGAAGGGAAAATGCAATAAGCGCTATAAGCATGCATATTTCAGAGCTTCAGATGGGACTGGATGAGAAGATGCATGTTGCACGTGGTGACAGTTCATAAACAAACCTGCAAGTTCTTTCATTTAACTCAAGTTGTCTGGCCTTGCATTGCAATTGTGTGAATTTGCAGGAACATTTACAGGTGAGGGGGTCCTGCACATACAAGCGCTTTCTTCTCTCTGAGCAAGGCTCACAGTGGCTGCAAGGGAAGCAGAAGAGAGAGACAGAGAGACATCTAAGCACTAGTGATTTGGGCAGAGAGCTGGAGACACACACACACTCATGCACCTCACCATCACACAGCACCTCTATTCATTGCATAAATGTGGGTCCTTTTTTGCTTCGTTTTGAAGATGGGTGGCATTAGGGGCAGATTGTGTGTGATGAGAGTGAATTATGACCTCATTCATTCATCAGTGAGCACACACGAGACACGGTGATTAGCTGCAACACTGAAATCAGACAGGAACAGTTATTGGACTGACAGACAACTGCATTCACATACACACATTCACATATACACGAATGAAAGCAGTATGAAGCTAAAGCAAAGTCTGCTAAAGTGGTTTGTTCAACTACAGAAACTTGACTCAGTTTAGAAGCACAATTTTGAATCATTTCTAGAATGGTTTCATAGACACATTATCTGTTGTAAAATTTGAATTTCGTAATTGTAATTGCACCGACACTGGAAAACAACAACAACAACTTTGTACTAACAAATACTAATGTTACAGGCACATTTATTATTTTTTCTCAAACTGTAGTTTTATTTAAAATTTGATTTAATATAAATAAAAAAACATTTATTGACAAAAACATTCACACAAATTAAAGTATTTATTATAAAGACCATAACATACTTAATAAATATACTCTCTTTAGACATAAGCCAAAATGTTACTTAATGTAGGTCAATATAATAAAACATAATAAACAAAAAGCAAAATCAGCTGTAATATGAAAGTAAAATTTTCACTTGCGATAAATCTAAAAACATTTTGTTAGTCAATGTTTAATTTAGTTTACTTAATATAAAGGCAACTTTGAAAGACCTTGATTTTTATTGTGATGTCATTTTAAAATATGCATCATATTTTCTTTCATTCACACAAAAATAAATAAATAAATACAATTAAAAAATGCAAAATATAGTCAGTATGTGCTCTGCACATCAACTCGCACAAAATACTATTTTTATTGTTTCTTTTCTTTCTTTCTTCTATTTTTTATTTCTATGGGGAGTGTTATTTGCCTTAGACTGAACAAAGAGGTTTAAACCAGATTTTCCATTAGATCAATATAAAAATGCACTTTAAATAAATGACAGTCATTTCACTGTTTTCAGTGTAGTAAAGACGAGCCCGTCTACAAAGAAAGAGATTCAAGCTGCTGTTGTCAGAAACATCAATGGGGCTGAAATACGGGTGAGGGAACACATGAGCATGGCGTGATCCCAGATGTGTGGTGGCACATTAGTACGATAATGACAGAGACAGCCATGCAACTTCTGTTTATTTACCTTTGGTTGCATTCCTGGGCCAACAGTGTGAATTTGAGTACAAATAAATGCAGACTGAGGCTTTAAGCCGACAGGACAAGTGCGATTACAAAGAGCAAACAATCTGTCCTGAAATAAAGCCAATGACTGAGAGCAAAATACTGCTTGAGCGCAGGTGAGCCGAGGCGCTGAGATCGCCCGAATCTCCCTCTCTCGCTCTCTTTCGGCTTTTAACCCTCCCCACTCTGGGTTTTCTGCAAAACAGGAAAATAACGCAAGAAAAGGACATCTAAATGAAGCTGCGGACAGTCATGCTGAGAAAGATCAATCAGCAGTAAGGATGTCAAAAGTGCTTTGATACTAAAAAAAATAAATAAATAAATACATTTTTCATTAATAGTTCATTTAAATTTCGTATAAAAATACTATTTTGATATTTACCTACACTACCGTTCAAGTATTTTTTAATGCTGTTCTTTTCAACTTTCTATCACGGTTTCCACAAAAATATGAAGCGTTTTCATCATTGATAATAATCAGAAATGTTTCTTGAGCAGCAAATCAGCATATTAGAATGATTTCTGAAGATCATGTGACACTGAAGACTGGAGTAATGATGCTGAAAATTCAGCTGCGGATCACAATAAATTACATTTTAACGCACATCCACATAGAAAACACTTATTTTAAATTGTAATAATATTTCACAATATTACTGCTTTTACTGTATTTTGTGATCAAATAATGCAGCCTTGTCGAGCAGAAACATTAAAAAGCATTAAGAAATCTTGAGAACTGTTTTGAACCTAATTTGTTCATATTTATATTAATATTTAGCATTTGAAATAAAGTAATATTCACAGTCAATATTAACTTTTGCTGTGATTTTTTTTTTGTTTTTTTTTTTGCTCAAAAATTGTACTGTGAATCGTGAAATTCCACTGGTATTAGTATAGAGTACTGAAATTTTCCTGATGTGACAACCCTAATTAAAGCGAGGAGCAGCACGTCACAGACGGTCCTCATGAGGAATCAACGGCAGACTCTACAGTCCAAATAAGCAGCTGAAGGATCTGAGCCGTAGCATGTGTGTGTGTGTGTGTTTGAGTAGCTTAGAGGTAAGGATCGAAGTACAAGGAGTTGAACTTGAGCTTGTGAATCAGAAGCGAGAGTCGCTGGGCTCCCCGCCCCCAGCGAGAGCGCTTGCCTGTGTGCTGAGAGAGACGACATGCAGAGAGCTGACGCTTAGCCCCATGACCAACGGATTTCATTTAGCCCTCTCAGCTAACCACATCCATCTCTGTACGCTCGCCAGGGGTGTAAAGTAACGAATTACAAATACTCACGTTACAGTAATTAAGTAGTTTTTATCAGTAATTGTCTCGCATTAACCTATAGGTGCAGAAACGCACACGGCCGCCGCTCATCCAATTAAACCGGGAACATTCCTTGACCTGAACCTACCGCATTTTGATCTGAATGTTTTCCATTAGATAAAATATCGGAGCAAAAAGATGCTGCAGGAGCTTTTATCAACATTGACTTCACTTTTCTGAGCCATTTTTGTAATGACATTTGACCAACTGGTTTCAAGGCAGTTTTTAGTGGATGCACGAAAAGTGTTAAAAAAAGTATTTTTGTTTGTATTTTCCTTAAAATAACAGCCATTTGATTTGATATTTCTGTTATGTGCACTGCAATTCTACTATTTTACTCCTAAAATGAGGATTTCTTGGTATAAATCAATGCATTTGGGTTTATTCAGCAATATCAAATCATATTTTTGACCAGTTTAACCAAACAGTTGCTGGTCCCTATTGACTTCCATAATATGGAAAACAATACTATGGAGATCAACTCGAGACTCAATAGCACTAAATGAGGTTTGTGAAACAGCTCACAGCAACCAACAATAACCTCCGTCTCAGGATCACCTACTATTTAAAAGGCTAAAAATAAAAGTGGGTTAACGACAGGCACTTGTTACTACGTATGATTAGTGTGGGAAAGCAGGCAAGGGTCAGTCTTGAGCAACTGCGGTGTGAGGAGAGCGGCGGGTGGTCTTCACAGACACCACCTTACAGTTGCCATAAAGCGCCAGAGCCTCGTCCCAAAAGAAAAACTGAAACAATCCTATAAAAGACTCTGTTATCAGCAGGTCAGAGCTCTTAAGAGATATATACGGAGCGATCCAGGCTTTTACACAAGCACCATGGGCTGTAAAACCTCAGAGAGGACTGGCAGACACCTAACCTGCTCAATGCTCGACTTGTTGATCAAAAATGAGATTTTCCACATTTGAAGGCATAATACTTGGTGGACTAATTGTTTATTGTGATTATTACTACTAATAAATTGAATTATTTTAACATTTTGTCACATTCCTTTTGCAAACCTTTAAAAGAAGCAATCAACAAATTAAAGCTGCATTGCAGTCATTTTACCACAACTGGGGGAAAAAAACTGTCTTTTTGTGGTATTTTCAGTATTGGATTTAAATATGGTAAATGTGTTAAACTGAGCTGCTCTTATTTGGAGCTGAATGCATAATCGCAAGTGGCAGGAAATTGTAAAGCAATTTGTGAATGACGTGGACTGCAATTCCGCAGTATCTGTCATTTTTTCCAAGGGCACAGATTCAGTATTTAGCACATGCTTTAATCCAAAATTACTATTTCTTTATGAGACTGCCATGTTCAGCAGATGGCAAGCACTAAATTATGAATGGTTACCTGCCAGAAATAGAGATGTACTAGCTATAAAAAGACGTCCAACACAAATAAAAGGAAAAGCAGGTTTTGTTTTGGGTGTTGTGTCATGATTGAGTCGTGTTGAAAGCAGTGAGTCTTGAGTTTGCGCCTGAGGATTAGGAGGGATTCGGCTGTTGTAACATTTAGTGGAAGCTGATTTGACTGTATGGGTGTGAGAACAGTCAAGTGTTTCACTTAGCTTTGTTGTAGGGA